CCACCCCGCCTCTCCCTCGCAGCAAGAGAGGGATCTGAACGCAGCAAGGGAGGAGGAGGAGGAGAGGGAGTGAGGGAACGGGAGCAGGAGGAAAGAAGGAGAGAGGGCAGGAAGAGACAGATGCAGAATGAGTTAATGAGAGGAACCAGAGGAAGCAGGGTGTTAAGGAGGCCCCATGAAATGAACCATGGCGTCGTCGTACTCTCATGCTATTTAACCTAGCAGCAGCTTTTCATAACTAATAYGTGGTTTTTAAACTACAGTGCTTGCTGCCTGAACCGTCTCGTGCGGGAGAAAAGTGCAGTGAGCTCCCTGCTAATGAAAACCCTACTTTTTAATATGATCCCAATCACATTGTGGATAAAATATACATTTAGGAAAAACAAAAGCCTACCAGTAATTAAAMCAATTCTTGAATCCATCTGAAACATTATAGTTGAGCAAACTTCAGCTTTTTTTCTATTTTGTTCAAAGTTTCAAAACACATTTTAGGAGGGATTGTTTATACTGGGTAATGTTTTCCCAGTGAGTTTATATGGYGGTTTTGTTTCCCCTTCAGTATTCAAAAAAAGCTTTCTGGAGAACATGAGATCCCACTCAACTATATGATGGATCCATTAGAAAAAAAATGGCCTAAGAAGTCATTTCATGGAACCTTAAAAGCAGTGTTTCAGGTGACTGCAGATAGGAAGAACACAGACCAAAGCAGAATCAAGCCAGAGTGCATGCAACTGGCACTTCAACACTTACAACACTGTTCTGACATAGARAAGAACAAAACACAGCTGGGAAACCAAGCAAAACCACGACACATCCAGCACATTATGATACACATTTGGATTTGAGTTGAGAGAAAGGTCGAACATAGTTTTTATTAATTTCTTTGGTGCTGGAGATTTAATTTACTTGAAACCGTTTGTGGTTGTGCTTGGTTGGTACTAGTCTCAGGTTAAAACTCTTACCATAACCAGGGTACTCAGCAGGACTAGTTCCAGAGTAGAAACTTGTACCACTAGACACAGAATACTGCTGGGTAGGAGTCATGTATGGAGTCCGGTACTGCAGAAGCAAAAAAAAAGAAGAAAAAAAAAAAAAAAGACATGAGAACTCCAGGTTAATGCCAGTAAGTTTGTTTACACAGATCAAGCCCCCATCAAACATTTAGCAAAGAGACAGCAGTATTTTTTATTGGTGGTGCACCAGCCTTGGCCTTTTGAGTCACCCTGTTGTGGACTCATGGCTGACTCCAATTTCAACTCTGCACTTTTGCACTGAGATCCAATGGAAGCCACACTTGAGAAGTGATGTGTAAAGCCCAGAACACAAAACTRTTTTTCATCAGTGGACAAAAGACATTAGTGCTAAAGGCACAGATATAACAGATTCTGTTTTAACCAGTCGGAAACAACATTTAAGACTTCTGTTTAATATTCTTTTAGTCATTGGAAATATTGAACTTAATCCAGGTCCAGATTAAAATGTTTTTATGTCCACTTTTTTTTATATTTAATGGGATTTTATTCATATGTTTTTAATAATTATCTTGACCTGGGTTTGTGCACAGGTGTATCTTATACGTATAAATCCAACTCAATTACAGTCTACACAGGGATCTATATTATATCCTGAAAAGGTTAGACAACCTCCTGTTATGTCAAGTCTGAACACTACATCAGTAAGAAAGCAAAAGCGATTTTCCTGTCTAAAAAAAAGTCCCGGGAGGCTAAATCAACTAGGTAAAATTAGAGGCTTTAAAATCTGCCATTTAAATATGAGAAGTCTTGTACCTAAACTGAATAAACTGGATGAATTCAAAGAAATACTTGTTCAGACACAAACACGTTATGGCTATATCAGAATCATGGATGACTCCTGCTATACCAAATTCATTTCTTTCAGTTGAAAATTATTCATTGTATCGTAGAGACCGTACTGATAGGCTTGGAGGTGGTGTTGCAGTTTATGTTCACAAGAAATACTCACATTATATAAGAGAATTGTCAACTGAGTCTGAATCTCTGCAATTAGAAATCAAGCTTACAAATCACCTTTCACTAACGGTTGTTACATATAAACCTCAAGTGTTAATTCAACTAAATATTTAGCGCAGCTCACTGACATTATAAAAGGCATAAAATCAAAAGAGTTTGTGATTCTTGGTGATATCAATATGGCTGAGAGTAGATCACTGTCAAGATGGAAAATGATGAGGAGGCATCATCTGGCCAGCAAGAGGGAGTTTTATTGAGTTCAGTCAGTAACACGCTTTAACCGACAGATCAGACCTTCAAAACTGAACTGACGTACAGTGGTTTGCAAAAGTATTCATACCCCTTGAACTTTTCCATATTTTGTCACATTACAAC